CAGGGTCTCTGTAGATGAATCCACCACCACACATTTTAAAGGCTCTGATACACCAAGCTGGCGATCAGCTGTTGGTCAGCGTCAGGCCTTCTGCTGGCACTGTTGGCACTAGTCGGCTCTTGACGGCTATTTTTCAGCCAATTCAGCATGTTGAATCAGCGTCAGACCTGGCAGAGCCTGCCAGTGAATGAAATCACTTTGATTTGGAGTTAAGCTCAATGCACAAGAACAGAAGTGGAAGTAAGGAAAGCAAACAAACGACCAATGTCAATAGGGCATGGGATAGAAACAAACTTGTTGTATAAATTAAGATTATTTTTTTGGCCATTGAGCTCTTTAGCAGGAACAGATATATATATCATTTCTTCTTTCACCATTTGGTTGTGTCATTAATGTGCTATCTGGCTAATTAGCGTCTTAAATCTGTCAAGTCGGTGTTCCGGTTCCAGTTTTCCCTTTTTAATGATGAATACAGACTACTGCCGCCTAATGGTATGGGAAGTTATTTCCTCTAACATACGTGCTGGTTGGCTCTTGGTTGTAGTCTTTGCGGTGTGTTCATGTGCAAGCTTTTGGCCAAGACATAGACGACATCAGGCAACACAACAGTCGGCCTTCGCTGCCTCTAGTCCTTTGCTGTCTGTTTGGTGTGTCTGTGTCTGGGCCTTTAGTGGGTCCATGTGAAGACTGAGAGAGATTTCTTGTATGAGCATTTTTCCACACCTTTAAAGCTTGTATTCTTTTCTCATGTTTGTAGGATGCAACGTCAGGTGGTCCGGCCCGTGCCTACCCTGTAGGTGGACTCTGTTACTACCTCTCTCCCCCGGAGTCGTTTGGTTCTGTTCTTGATGACCCAGTCCATGCAGTCATCTACATCGTCTTCATGCTCGGATCATGTGCCTTTTTCTCCAAGACCTGGATTGAGGTCTCAGGCTCCTCTGCTAAAGATGTAAGTTGTGACCACTTTCAGGCAGCTGGTGTTCTGTGTTTGTTTCAAGCAGGCTCTGAGTTAAAGCTCTGTTCTTTACTTTCATCCAGGTGGCAAAACAACTGAAGGAGCAGCAGATGGTGATGAGGGGACACAGAGAAACCTCAATGGTCCACGAACTGAACAGGTAAAACCAAAAACCTTTTTCATTTACATAGCTCCTCAGTAACACAAACCATATATCGTTTTAAAAAAAAAAAAAAAAAAAACTTGCTGTAAAATGTTTGTCAAACTAAACTCTGATTGTCTGTCAGAAAAGGGTGTATGATGGTAGAGCAAAGCTGTTGGCATCAGGAGATATTATGTACATAATTCCGCCTCACACATCCAGACTGTACTCTCTGTCTTGCAAACACAGCTTTGGAAAAGCAGAGTTTGGAAAACATTGGGTCTTTTTATGTATAGTACAGATGTAATTAATCAAATTATGGCTGAATTCAGTTTAGCTCCTTCAGTTTCAAGGTCCTGGTATTATGTATGCTGGCTCATTGTCAAACTGTCATGATTGCATTTTGGTTGTTCACACTGTTTGTTTTACAAACAAACCAAGAGAAGTAAACATGAATTTAAACTGACATATGACTCATTAGTTGGACAGTTGGAGCAACTGTCTTCTTCCATCATCAGGACCCATGTGAGGAAATCAAATTGTTGAGACTGACAGAAGTTTATGCAGCGTTTTAATGATTCTGATTTGCTTATTTATGTTCTTGGGTGTCATAAAGAGTTCACCAAGATATAACTGATTATAAGCATTATCAATATTATTAAGCTGCAAATTAACTGCATGTTGTGAATAATGACTAACAGAGACAGTTCTGATTTGGAGCTAATTACTGTGGGATCACTGTCACACGCTTTTTAATTAACTTAATGAACTCAGATACAAGGAGAGCAGCTTTTAACAGCTATCAGATTATCAATGAAAAAACCCTCGCTGACATGCATAGATTTTGCCATAGTTACCAATTTATTTGTATAAATAGGTTGTATACATGGCCGTGAAAAAAAAAAAGATAATAAGATTGCTTCCTGAACAGATTTAACGATCAGTAGGTGAATTTATTAGTAGTCAAGTTTTTGAAATCATACTGAAATCGAATATCTCCCATCCTGTGGTTCGCTTGTTTACTTTCACACCACAAATAAATCGCACTAGAGTCCACATGGAAGCAGACAAAGACCTATCTAAATGAACCGCTCCAACCAACCAAACTCACATGAGTCCATCCTTTCTGCATTGGTGTCACCTCCCTGTGTATTGTGTTCTATTGTAATAAGAATTTTGTGTCCTTGGAAATGCTATTCCACCCAAACAAAGCATCTTTTTGAAGGCAAAGTGTGCAAAAATATCAGTCATCAAGCAATATTAAACTAATTAAAAGGAGGCCAGCAGTTCACTGGCTATCTTTTCTTGGTACTTATCTGCCTACCACTTACTGCTAAATTTTCCTCAGTTGTCTGCTCACTTGGGTGTGCATCTAAAATATGCAGTGCATAAAGGAATTGTTCGACATTTTGGAAAATACGGTCATACAACTGGCTGTTGTCATATATTTGTCAGACAGACTTGTGGTGTTGATGTTCTTATCTAAATGAACATTTTCTATTAATGAATTAATGAATTTCTGCTGAAACACTGACAGGTGAAATTCTGTGTATTAACATTCATCTCAATCTTCCTGTCTTCTGTTCTAGGTACATTCCTACTGCAGCTGCCTTTGGTGGACTGTGTATTGGTGGTTTATCAGTAATGGCGGACTTTCTGGGAGCCATCGGCTCTGGCACTGGTATCCTGCTGGCCGTCACCATCATCTATCAGTACTTTGAGATCTTTGTGAAAGAACAGAGCGAAGTCGGCAGCATGGGGGCCCTGCTCTTCTAGAAAAACCAACATCTTCCCACCTTCTACCAACTTTTATTAGAATCACCAACTTTGCATTTATTTTCCATCTATGTGAAGCTCCTGCGTCGTCAGCTCTCCACTTGCAGGATGTCTGAGGAATCTTGAGGAATCTCAGCTGAAACGGGACCGTGCGAGGCGGTGGGGCTGCACAGCTTGTTGCTCGCTCCTTGCATCTTCCAAAGTAACACAGAGACTGACACTAAGGTTGTACTTCATCAGATTTTCTAACTGACTCGAGATCATAGCTTCATTTAAATGCTTCCTTCGTGTTTGAGATGAAGTCCTGCGGGAGTTTGGTCCTTTTTTTCAGACTGACAATAGAGTGCTTCAGTATGCAGGCATACTCGACACGGATGATGGAGGTCACCTGCCTGCTGTGTGCATAAACGCACCCGATGTTCTGCTTGGTGTTATCTTAGTTTATACTTTTACTTTCAGCTTTATTTTATTTTTCAACCTGCCAACTGTGTAAAGGTGTGGAACAGGAGCAGAACTGTCAAACGCTGAGTCAAGTACTGTCACTCTCCTGATCTGTGACCCTGTGTCAGCTGTTTTTGAACAGGGTCTTGTAAGAGGAGGATGTGGAGCTCACATTGGGGTCCAACCGTCAAAAAATGTTGGACTTATGTTTGTCATCGGATGAAATGCTCAAGAAAAGGGTCCTCGCTGTTTTAATGTAGGACATTCCCAGGGAGCTGCAGTATTAACTCACACGTCACATTCATATTTGTGTCCCACTTCCTAAGATTTTGTTTTGTTTTTTAATTAAGCATATTTGCTTTAATTTCTTTTCCACACCTGAAAAAAAGTTATGATTTCCTGTACATAGGCCATGCATTGAATAACTGAATTTGTCTTACATGTAAGATATCTTTTGAATATGTAAAAAAAAAAATGCATTTCAGAACAAACTTATAGAAAAACATTCTCAATAAAACCTTTTTGTGGAAAAAGGATTAATCGTGTGACTTGTCTGACGTTTCCCCAGTGAATTTTGAAGCAGTCAGCAACTATAAGTGTTTATTAATGTACAGTATTTGTCAACAATTATAATCTCCTATGAAGACATCATGTGCTCATACATCAGTCTCCACTTAATGGATGCCCACAGTAGGAGTTAGAGGTGTTGACAGAAGCAGTAATGAACACCTATATCTGCTTACAGCTACATTACAGTATGTTTTCAGTGGGGCCTGGTGTAACTTCTACTAAGGCTTGGCAGTATGTGAGTAAATCACCAAAGAGCCATTGAACTGAAGATAAGATAAATCTTTATTCGTAAGTTTGCAACATTACAGCAGCAGAGGTGTAGGAGCAGGAGGCATCAGTGGAAAAAAAACCCATAAAAGCAATAATAAGTACGCATCAATAAAAAGAAAAACAAAGAGCAATATAATCAGCAAACTGCATAAAAACAGCAATATAAAATAAGCAAAATATAATAAAGAGACAGACAGGATGGCTGATTTCACATCACTGACGGAAAGGATAGTATAGTTATTGCACAGTTTAGCATACACTGATAATGCACCTGAAAAGATTAATGAGTTTATTGACTTTTAATGTGTATTGATTATTAGTAAATATGTCTACAAAATGTACAAAAGATAGATTTTGTTGTTATAATTATGGTAATGTTTCTTTTATTCTAATATCCCACCCCTAAAATGAAAAATTAAATCAATAATTTTATAATATATTAAGGTTGGAAAAGTAGTGGTTGTTGCAGGGCTGTTGTTAGTATGTTTATTTAATATTTTAATGTTTATTTAAGAATATTTAAAGTTCAAAAGTAAAGTGTCACATTACAAAAATAAAGGAGGACATTTTCCTCAAGATATCACACTTCCCCTCCTCTTTTCTTGATTATCATCCCTTTTCAGTAAGGTTATATATTTTATTTTGACTTAGAAGTAGAATAGAAAAATTTAAAACCTAAAAATAGAGGGAAACCTGTAACAAAATGTCTAGCTTTCTCTAAAAACTTTGCTTGTGCTAAAGAAAAGAAGAATGCATGTCACGCTTTGACCTGTTGGGGGCGACAGTGCGCCCCGGGGCGTCTGCGCTACCGGAAATAGAAAGGAAGAAGAATAAGGAGACGAAGAAGACTCCATGCTCAAGCAAGGATAGTTGTGAAACCGCTGTAAATGTGAAACAAGCTACCTGATGCTGAACTGACACTTGCGACATTCCCATGCTCTGCCAGTGAGAGTCTTTATCTTCGGAGTCGTTGCTGTAAATCAGGAAGAAGAATTTATTCTGTCCCAGAGGGAAGACATGAGCTCGGTCAGACAGGAAGGTAAGTAACATGCTGAGCTAGCCGGCTAACTTAAAGCTAACCCTGAAGTTGATTTAAAGGAAGTCTGAATGAAACATTAAGGTTGCTGTTGTTCCCAGTCGTTAAAAGTATATTAATGAGTCTCTTGTTACGATGAAAAGGTTTGTTAAACTGTGACGTTATCATGAGTGAGCATGATTTAGCTTATAGTCATCAGTATTTAACCTTGACATGTAACAACCACAGTTTTGTATGCAGGGTTGGAAATTAACTTTTTTTGTTCACCTGTCATTCAATAGATCACCAGTGTTTTGGTTTTTAGACTGGTTAGTGAAGCAAATGTAGCAGCTACACTTGAATATTTCACCAGTATTTTCCTCATGGCTGACCCTGATGTTGTGTCATGCAGGGATGATGCCATGTTGCGTTTCATACAATGAGTGGTTTAAGATGTTTTTCATGCACAGTCACCTCGAGTCCTGTCATTAAACGATTGTTCTTGTCATCACTACAAGTCAAGGGTTTATCATGAAAACAGCTGTCATAGTTCTGCTTCATTTCTGGTCCAGAGGTGTAAAGTAACTCAGTACATTTGCTCAGTAATCCACTAAAGTATAATTCTGAGGTAGGCTTTACAGCATAGGGCATCCCTCTGTCCTTGGACCATCACAGCAGATAAGGAATAACACCCAAAAAGAAACTTAAACAGGGAAAGGAAATGATAGAAACCTCAGGAAGAGCAACTGAGGAGCGATCCTCCACTAGAACACACTAGATTTTGAGGGAAATATTGTAGTTTTTACTCGATTACATTTATTGAACAGCTTGACATACTACTTTGCAGATAAATATCTTACATTTAAAGAAGATACAGTGAATTGTTAGATATGTGTTCTCATTATTTTTTGGGGCCTGCATTTTGGTGATGATACTTGGATGGACTTACTTGCAATGGAGCATTTACATTGTTGTGTTGAAACCTATAGTTAAGTAACAGATGTAGGCTTTGGCGGGGTCAGGTAGGGGTGAGAATCACCAGAGGCTCCATGATACAATATTATCACGATACTTTAGTCACGATACAATGTTATTGCAACTTTAAATATGTTGCGATAGGCTGATTGTTGCGATATAATATATTGCTCTATATTGCCATTAATTACCTGTTTGCAACTGCAAATATTAAAGGAGAACTTTGTCAACATCTGTTTTGTCTAATAAGGAAAAAGTATTTGCAGCAAAATGTATGTAGTGGACTGACAAAGCAATTTATTATAACCAAATGGGCTACCTAAATTTTAATTTGTATATTTGATAGTAATATTTATTTATTTATTTTAAGATATTTTTGGGGCATTTTGCCTTTAATGGACAGGACAGCCAAGTATGAAAGGGGGAAAGAGAGAGAGAGGGCATGACATGACAGCAAAGGGCCACAGGCTGGATTCGAACCCGGGCCGCTGCAGCAACAGCCTTGTACATGGGGCGCCTGCTCTATCCACTAAGTCACCGATGCCCTGATAGTAATAATTTATATAATAAAAAATTGATACTTGGCACCATGTGACATTATCATATTGCCACACAAAAATATCGGGATACTATGCTGTATGGATTTTTTTCCCCACCCCTAGAATCAAGGTATCAGAGTATACTGGGCTACTGAGAAATCCCTGAAGTATGACTTTCAGTTCTGTCAAAAATACAGCCACTTCTCTTTCTGTTAAACTGTGGCTGAGAGGCTGTATTGAGATGATGTGTTGTAGTGCACAACATGCTCCTCCAGAGGTCAGTCTCTACTGGAGGAACAGCAGCTGAGCTGAGGAAAGATGGTGACTGCAGGCAGTGGGGATGGAGTTACAGGATTAGTAAGAAAGAAAAATAGCTCTGCCCCTGTTTCCCACATACAGTTGTATCTCCGGCTTCAAAAGTAGTTTATTAGCCACATGGTTTTATTTAACACATCTTCTCTGTTGAGCCCACTGATGTGTCGGCATCTGTTGTAGTGTGTCACCAGGTCGTTCAGCAAAAAGGGCGCTTATTTCCTGTCTGCTCATTATTCTGTTGGCCATATGTATCTAAACTGAGCAGGACTTGTCTAAACAGACTGACTGCATATTAGAAACTCACAAAGCATTGTAGGCTAGACTGTTACACAAATGCTACAATGACTTCTATCACCAGTAGCTTAGCTTTTCATGTTTTTGTTTGTTTGTTGTTTTGTTTTTACACAAATACTGTCATGTACTGTGCAACCTGGTGAAATATCAGGAAGGATTTAAAGGACTTATAAGGACTTATAGTCACATCCACAGTCACAAGTTCAACATGTTCATGTTCCATTACGTCACTTCCCACACTCAGTCTTATTTTGTCATCTACCATAATTATTTCCATGATCTATGATCTGTTTTATATTTTTGATAAATCCTGCAGACTGTAAGATGTCAGGAAAGAGTTTAAAATGCTCAATACAATTTCCAAAACCAGAAAGTGATTCAAACTGCTTTTTCTGTCTAACGAAATTCAGTCTACAAATATAAATAACTTATTTAAAACTAGAATTTCTCTGATGATGAATGAATTAATTGACTAATAGTTTCAAGGATTTCAGCACTGAACACCAAACCACATACTTCAACAAAGCAGAGTTCAAAACACCACCCTGCACTGAGATGTGTGCCTGAAGGTGCGCTCAGATGTGCTCTAGTGATGCACAACCAGTTTTGCCAGTTTTATATCTACACAGCCTGAACACACACTGATGATACCAGGGGCTGGAAGCTGCTCCAGCAGATAACTGATTGCATAACCATCCATCACACAGACATGTGTTTTCAATACAGCCTGAAGGATTTTATTTACATGATATCAATAGTGGTATTTGAATGTTAAAAAAACAACATTGGCTGATAGTTGTTTTTAACTATGATCCCTGACGTACATTTCACAATCTATTATTGACCAAAAATACTGGCCTGGATGATTTTCCAGTCAGGCTGTAGTGAGGAGCGTGCAGTACACTGTGCAAATGGTGAACTGTTGAACCTATTATTACTTAATATCAGAATTATAAATAAAGTAAAGGCTGTATATGTCACATAGTCAGCCTTTGGTTTGGTTAAGGTACCACATTACGTATCACTGACAAACTGTTTGCGTTGTCTGTCCACATTTTACCCAACAGGTAAAGACCGAATCATCTTTGTCACCAAAGAGGACCATGCTACACCCAGCAGTGCTGAGCTCGTAGAGGAAGATCCCAACGACCCATATGAGGAGCAAGGTGAGGAGAGGAACCTGTTGTCAGGCTTCACTGTAGCTCAGGTTAGGTTTTAAAATTAAAACAATTTCACACAGAGAAGTTAGAATCCATGTGTGGTGGCTGCCGACAGTTTATTTTTGTCTGATTTCGGAGGATTTTGCAGGTACGTCAAATCAGCACAGGCGAAACTCTTCGTTAGTTTTTATTTTCTTCATCGGCATTTTGTTGAATTTGAGTTATGGGGTGGAAAATGAATAAGTCGATCAGTTTATGGTCAGATTGAACAGATCTGATTAGAACAATAAATTAGATTAGAGGAGCAGCTGCTGCAGACTCAGAGCTGGACCACACACTATTTCCATGGCGATGCAGCCAGTTTCATCTAAAGTAGGTTTGAAAAACTTTAAACACCAAAATGGGAGTGCTGTTCGAAGAAATGGAGCTTTCTGTTCCAATATAAATTAAGGAATGTTTAAGTTTCACTTTCACGTCGCCTGGTGCTCTACTGCTCCGTCTGTGCTCTGAGAGTGTGGTGCTCTGAATAACAGAACAGTAAATATATTCCTAATTTACAGACCAGCTCCAAAAATCTGAAAATTAATATGTGCCAGCAAATGAATGTGTGGGAAACCCTCCTAAAACAGTTACCTGTGTTGTACCACATATTAACTAAGCCCTCCTCTCTGATCCTAGGTCTGATTCTTCCCAGTGGGGAGATAAACTGGAACTGCCCCTGCCTGGGTGGGATGGCCAGTGGTCCCTGTGGGACTGAATTTAAGGACGCCTTCTCCTGTTTCCACTACAGTAAAGAGGAGGTGAAGGGTTCTGAATGCCTGGAGAAGTTCAGGGCCATGCAGGAGTGTATGCAGCGTTACCCGGAGCTTTATCCTCAAGAAGATGACAAGGTGCAACAAGAACAATCAGCAGAAACAGAACAGACCTCACAAGACTCGGCGTCTGCAGAAACATCAGGTGCAAACTCAACACTTGCCTCTGAGCAGGACTCTGATACCACTCCATCCAGCACGGAGGGCTCAGTGGAAAGCTAATGAAGAGCCTTGGTGGCAGCTAGAGCTCGGTATCGGTGCTCAACACTTATAAGGTATCGACCGAAATAACCAAGTAGTATCAAAACATCTCGAGTCAAAAAATATATTCAGTCATTTTTGTACCCACATCACCACAAGCGTTCTTCAATTTAAGGCAACATGTGATTAGTCCACTACTGCAGCAGCTACAACCCTTACTGTCTGTGATGTGACGTCGAACGTGTTGTATTTGACAGAGTTGGTAGTTCAGTGTGTAGAGCTGCCACCAAAACATTCACAAGCATGGCTGTACTACATACCTGTGGCATCTGGTGGCATTTAAGGCAACTGAATGCTTCCATTCACACAATTGGTATCGAATAAAGAAAAAAAAAAGTATCAAATTAAGTACTGTATTGGTATCAGCATCACTGTAAGGGTGCTGGTTTTGGTGCTGGTATTGTATTATTTCAAACATGAGCCACAATTTAAAGTCCAACTGAAATTACATTTATTTATTTTAGTTTTACTGTTAATACTGTAGTTTTTTATGATTAAGAGAAAGAAGAAAAAAGTTCGGAGGGAATATTAGAAATGCTCATTTTGCTCTCAGTGGCTGGATGAGCTGTTGGTGTCTTATTGTCCAGCACCATAACTTACAGGCCGTTTGGAGATGGTGTGTTGTCAGCATAGAGGAGTAAAGTCCACAACAGCATCTGAACTGACTGAAGTTATAATTGTAAGTTTGCATGCTGCTTAATGTGCTGCAGCAGAATAGCTGTTTCTAGTTTTCCTTGCTTGGTTAGCAGGTTAAGCCAGCAAAAACACATGCTCATGTTTGGTTTCCACAGAAATGCTTATGTGGGTTGGTATGCTTCATACAAATATGGTTCAGAACGATGTGATCCAATCAGCTGTATGGAAACAAGTTCTCGATCGACAGAGACATCTGGACATATACATCTACATCTAGACGGAGAGCTAAAGGTATTGTGAGGAATTATATTATATACAGAGTAGATATATATCAAGCTGTAGAAAACAAAAACATGATATGTAATTTCAGTTGGAGTTTGAACATTTTATTTACGAATGAGATGAGCTTGAACTTTTGTAAAACTAACACAATGTTGTCAATGAAAAAATGACGATCTTGAGTTGCTCAAACTTGACTTTGGGTTCAGGCAAGACAAGATTTAAGAATCCTTAATTCAGTCAAGCGCCCAGAGGACCAACCCTTTAATACACCTCAGTGTGTATTTACCAGCCACAACAACGTCGCAACAGCTGGTATTGTTTTTGTGTGTGTGTTTGTGTGTGTGTTAAAATGTGGCCCTGGTGACACCTGTTTTGGCAGAAGCTACCACATCAACGGTTTTAAGTATTTTGTCAGGTGTTTATATGTCCGTCTGCAGCACAGTAACGTCACAACGGTGCAAAAATCAGTCACAAAACTTAACAGGTGTGTAGTTTGGATCATGATGAAGGCAGAGTTGGAAATAAGGGTGGTCCAAGCAAGGGGGCAAGGGGAGCGGAAGTACGGGGTTAGGAAGTAGGGAAGGGGCCATTGCGCTTTACGCCCCCTGCTGATTATTGTGGCTGCAGTGATGGCATCACAAGATGGTTTCTAGATTTTTTATTTCCTTTGTTTCCATGCTGGAATTTACAATAACGAGGTCTGAAATTATAGTAAAAACATGTTTTATACCTTTTTATTTTCTGACATCTGTGCTATTTTCTTATGATATACAGCTTACAATAAGTATGTGTTACACAAAGTTTATATTAAGCTTTGACTCAAAGTTATTGTAGTGATGTTAGGATAAAGTTAAGTTTGCAGAGGTGTGAATAATGTACTAAAGACAACCTTACAGTTTCTACTATGGATCCTGAATAGTGAGTTTCCACATCTGACCTGTTGGACTGCATTGCTTCTGCTTATTTATATCTACACCTAAAACCTTTACCTCAGCTGGACAATTTGTGTTCAACAAAGGACTGAATCAAAGTGACTTGAACTGTTTATTGTTAAAAGTTTTGTAATAAATATGACTATAACTGACAGTATTGTTTTTTGTGAGATATTGTTGTTTACCATGTGTAAATGTGTTATTACAGTAGCCTTGACCGGAGGCATTATGTTTTTGGGTTGTCCGCACATCCCTCCCATTCTTATGAATACACTATCTCAAGAAGGGAGGGAATTTCTTCAAATTTGACACAAACGTTCACTTGGACTCAAGGATGACCTGATAAGATTTTGGTGTTCAAAGGTCAAGGTGACTGGTCCTGTCTGTTTCATTCTTGTGAACGCAATATATCAAGAATGCCCTGAAGGAATTTCTTCAAATTTGGCACAAACATTCACCTGGACACAATTGTGATCTGACTAGATTTTGGTGGTCAAGAGTCAAAGGTCAAGGTCAGCGATATCTCAAAAATACCTTGGGAGTTTCTTCAAATTTGGCACAAACATCTGCTTGGATTCAATGATGAACCGATTAGATTTTGGTAGTCATAAGTCAAAGGTCAATGTCACCTCAGTTTTTTCATTCTTGTGAATGAGATATTTCAAGAGCGCCCTGAATGAATTTCTTCAAATTTGGCACAAACGTTCACTTGGACTCAAGGATGACCTGACTAGATTTTGGTGGTCAAAGGCCAAGGTCAGCGGGACCTTGCACTCATCTCATTCTCATGAACGTGATATCTCAAAAACGCCTTGGGGGAAATTTCCTCAAATTTGGCACAAACATCTGCTTGGATTCACTGATGAACTGATTAGATTTTAGTGGTCATAGATCAAGGTCAGTGTCACCTCATGTTTTTCATTCTTGTGAGCGTGATATTTCAATAAAACCTTAAGGGAATTTCTTCAGATTTGGTGCAAACATCCCCTTGAACTGATTAGGATTTGGTGGACACAGGCCAAGGTCACTGTGGCCTCTGATACATCTTTTTGTCCATAACTCAGGAATTTATGTGCTAATTATGGCAAAACTTCACACAAATGTCTAATTGGATATAAAAGGTCAAAGGTCAGCTTCACCGATACATAATGTTCTGCATAAAACACTTTTTCTGGCCATTACGTCATACGTCAGGAGATACATTTGGTCACCAATTTTGGGTGTCTACCTTGAAACTGTACCGATTGTATGGCTCTTCTGTGTGTGCAGTATCCATGTTTTCACAGACATTGATGGAAACTGTAAGAGACACTTGACTGGTGCGTGGAGGCATACAACTGCAGGACAGTAATTCTAGTTTTTTTACATGACCTAGGCCTGACACTGGAATCATGACCCTTTACATCACATTGCAAGTCAGCAAACAAGTGAACTCTTGAGCAGCTGCGGCGGAGTTACACAAGGACAATTTTCTATATCCATTATTGATATAATACATTATCCCTCTGAATGTGTGCCCCTAGACCTCAGACTAATAATCATACTGAGCTGTAATTGTGCATTTTTACATGGGACTTGTTATAGTTATAGATGTATGGAAATAACATGATTCTACATAATAGTTGTTGACCTGTCCAAAGGTTCTGGCATGCACTCGTGTTTACCTGAGTTGCGTGTCAAAGCATCAGGGGTCAGAGGTCTGCGGCAGTGTTTGTCCGCTGAAGCATGTGCCACTTCAAACTCCCTCAGGGGTCAATAATTACCAAACACCATTTCCTATCCTCGTGTACCATTGGCCGATTGCGAAGGGCAAAGATGACCAAAACGCCAATGAGACAATAAGTTGAAGAGTGATTGCCCTTAAATTTTCTTTCTCTCCGTGGAGGACGGCCTGCAGTGAGAGCTGCCTTTTGTCTCCAGCGTGATCTCTAACTACAGGTTGCTGCTGAAGTGTGTGACAGGATGTCATCTTTAAAGGAGATATGCAGTGGTTTACCCCTGGATCCACTGCCCCCTAACCGGGGAAGAGACTCCAATGTGCCACATGCACCTATCCGGACCCCGAACCTTACAGCAGAGGAGGAGCGGGTGAGTCATACTGTTTCTATGCATTCAAACTTGTTCAGCTTTGTCATACAATAATTTATAAATCAGTTATCCAGGTACATGTAGACCTCTTGAATCCATTTTGTGCACACCACAATGAAACAGAGCAGTCATTAATGTCAATAGGTACTGCTGTGATTTTCTACTTTAACAAGTGTAAATACTGTCTGTTAAATAAACTCCAAAAGGAAGATTACATTGCTAATGGTAGGGAAAGCCCCAAACATGAACCAACTTGGCTGCAGTCAAACCTGTCAAACTACTATCAGAAGGAAAAAGACAAACATCATCACGCAGCTATGTGAGAGTGAGCTGGAGGAGGTTACAGCTCACTGTCATGTCAGACAGTTGCTTTCCTATAAATGTGTCAGATGCAGACACACAACCGACATTAAGCTATGCTGCGTACTCTGACTTATTGCATCACTGTTGGCTCATTGGCTGCCCTAAAATATTGATTATTCTCTAAGGTCTTTAACTGATTGCCTAAACTGAGAGCAGACTTGAGTCAATGATTAACAGAGATGCAGCAGGTGCTCTGTCTGTTAGCCTTACAGTGTAAAAGATCTACTCATCTGTCTGACTGTGCTGAAACATTTACACTGTACAGAGTGTCTTATCTAACCTACTGTCAATGCCTCTTCCCTCTAGTTGGCGCTGAGAAATGCACTGCGTTACTTCCCTCCCACCCATCATGCAACTCTTGCACCTGAATTTGCCCAAGAGCTGCGGCAGTACGGGCACATTTACATGTACCGCTTCTGCCCCACGTTACGCATGAGGTGAGGCAACCAAATGATGAAAGCCCAACTGATATGGCATTCTTTATGCCAGTATCCATACTGATATTTGAGAATAAATTAATCTATGTGTTGGCTGTTATTCCGGTTATGCCCATACAATTTATATAAATATTTTGACAATAATACTTCAAATTTGGTTGTTAGGTTAGGACATGTGCTATGTGATTTTTTATATCATTAAAGATGACAGTAACAGTAAATGAAAGATGAGTTTGGTAATTTTGTTTCTGACAATGAAATACGTAATAATAAAAATAACAAAAACTTGGTATAACCTGCAGAGCATTATTTCTAAAAATCTAGTCCATCTAAAAAAATCTCTGAGGCCGTGTTTTAAAATCAATGTAACTGCAAAATGCAGCCATTTTGTTTGACCTGGATTTAGTCCTTTCATTGTGTGTTTAATGATTGTATTTCCTGAGTGTTTATTGTGTTTAAACTGTTACTGGTGTGCTGCCTTGCTGCCAGGTCTCCCTCAGAGAAGAGGAGGGACTTCCTGGTTGAATAAAGGTTAAATAAATATAAATAAAATTGACCTGCTGGTATATTTTGTCAGGTCAGTCGGGCTTTAATAACAATCCCTGCTGTCGAAGATGTTCTCTGCCTTTTGCATTTACACAAGGTTGTAACTTTTCAAAGGAGAAATAACACATTCCCTCTGTTATAAATAAAATGTTTAATTCATATGCAATCACATGCACCCTTCAGTTTCAGGACATTGTGGAGGGTTTTGCTGCTGCAGCCTCACTAGTCTGGTATGAACACTAACGGTGGCTTATGAAAGTACCTCACTGGAAATTATAGGAAATCTTTGTGTCATCCTGTGAAAGTGTGAAAGTTACATACACATCTCTCTTTATGATGGTTTTGTTTAATTTGTCTTTCTCCACAACAGTGATGTAAGTTTGTCTCTGTCTCCTTAGAGCGTACCCCATAGATCAGTACCCGTGCCGCACACGCCAAGCTGCCTCCATAATGCTCATGATCATGAACAACCTGGACCCTGCAGTTGCTCAGGTCAGCCTCTAACACAGCTTGTATTAACATAGCAACTAAGTATGTGATGTCTTTTGCTTAATTCATTGTCTTATTGGCATCTTTATCCCTCAGTTTCCCCAGGAGCTTGTCACCTACGGAGGCAATGGACAGGTGTTCAGTAACTGGGCCCAGGTGAGCCCTGAGTAAATGTGTTTTCTTACAAAGGACTTGGTGACGATGTATAAATAGATGTATATTAAAGATTTGTGTGTGTCTGGGTGCAGTTTCGTCTGGTGATGCATTACCTGAGCGAGATGACAGAGGAGCAGACTCTGGTCATGTACAGCGGTCATCCCATGGGCTTGTTCCCCAGCCTACCTTCATCACCTCGCGCTGTCATCACCAACGGCATGGTAACAGCCTAACACACATCTGATTAAGCTTTTAGCCCACTTACAACCCTGTGTACTGACATACACTGTTCTTTATTTTTTTTGCGTCACTCAGGTTATTCCAAATTACTCCTCCAGAGATCAGTATGAAAGGATGTTTGCCCTTGGTGTGTCAATGTAAGTTTTTAAGATGCTTTTCAGTAAGAAGATGTTGCTGTATTAGCCTTGTATGTGGGTGTACATGTTTGATGTAATCTCTGTTCTTTTATTTGTCCGTTTTCAGGTACGGTCAAATGACAGCTGGCAGCTACTGCTACATCGGACCTCAGGGTATTGTTCATGGCACTATGGTTTGTGATTTTTTTTTTGTATGCACACAGCACTCCAGTATTGACTCATGCAAAATCTGGATCACTTTTAATCAGTGGTTACCAAACTGAAGTGAGATGAAACAAGGAAAAAGTTATCTTATTAACTTGTTTCTAGTCTTTGCTTTTTGACTTTTTACTGTGACCTGTAAATTCTTTAAATGAAACAATATAGGAAGGGAAAAAATTAAGGTCACATGTATAGACTGTGTAAGATATTGGACATAGCCACCATAGTGTCACCCACTGATTTGTGGACTCCTGTATTAATGTATTAAAGCCTCGACTTTGGCATATTGGCTGTCTCCATCTTGGATTTTTGGGGCCACAAGTGACAATATTTGGATGAGAGGGTGGCACTACCCTAACATTAGCTGCTAGCTTGGTTAGCACAGTGCATTTATAGCTATGGTTAACTGTGATAATGCTAATGCTGATGCTATTTTTGCAAGTCAAAAACAGACTTACCAGAAAAACTTTACATCCAACTCCTTAGGGGGCCTTTGAGTGCAACCAGACAATTTTTTAGGTGATCAACACATTACAATTAATTTTAAGTACTGAAAACACACTAAAATAGTACCAACTACAGCCATGCCTATACTCTGAATCTGGGGTTACGCTATGATTATGTTACCTGACCAGTGTTGTCATCATGGCAGCTCCTCGTCAATGGATGGCACCCTGTCATTTAAAGCTTCCACACCCTTAATTATGCATAAAATTAAGAGGCCATCGTAAAATTTTAACAGATGAGTTACATAAAAATTCACCCCGTACAGTTGTCATGAGTGAGGAAAATATCTGTAAAGACCAAAACCGTTTTTTGTTTGTTTATTTGTTTTGTACCAGGCTGTAAACATGTTTATTTCTGTTGTAAATTGAGCATTTTAACAGGGGGGTCTATGGAGATTGATTTGCTTTGGTGTCTGCCTCAAGTGGCCACTGGATGAACTGCAGTTTTTGGCACTTAAATGTTGGCTTCATTTTTCAGCCCTGGAGGTTGCAGCTTGGTCACTTGTCAAAACAGTTGGGATATAACTACTTTAAAGGAGCAGTGTGTAGGATTTAGTGGCATCTAGTGGTGAGGTGTGAAATTGCAACGTACTGAATACTCATTGTTTCACCCCTCTTTTTCCACGTATGTGGTAGAACCTACAGTGGCTTTCAGGTAAGAGAAAAACATGAAAGGCCCTGTCTAGATCCAGTGTTTGGTTTGTCTGTTCTGGGCTACTGTAGAAACATGGCGGACTTCGTGGCAGAGTTCCCTCTCCATATGTAGATATGAAGGGTTCATTCTAAGGTCATGAAAACACAACAGGTCTTAGTTTCAGGTGCTTATATACCAATAAAAACATAGTTATGAATATTACTTTCCATCTCTGGACCCTCCTAAATCGCACACACTGCTCCTTTAAATCATAACAGTCACTGACACATTACCTGTGTGTTATAGTTCCTATTCTTTTATTTCTCCCCCTGTGTGTGTCTGTGTAGCTAACTGTGTTGAATGCCGGTCGGAGGTACCTGGGCTCTGGTGACTTGAGGGGACGCGTCTTTATGACCTCTGGACTCGGGGGCATGAGTGGAGCTCAGGCTAAAGCTGCCGTCATCGCAGGATGCATTGGTGTGATTGCAGAGGTCAGCTGGTGTCCAGTCATTTCCCAATAATACTCACTGCTGACAGAGCGAGAATGAAGCACGTCCTGAGTGTGACTGTGTGAATTTGTTTCCTGCGTAGGTGGATGAGGCTCCTCTTAGAAAGAGGCACGAGCAGGGCTGGCTGATGGAGGTCACCAGCAGCATGGACCACTGTATCAAACGCATCAGGTAACAAAGAGGAAAAGTCGTTATGAGAGTGCAAAAATATTTTTTAGAAATAGTTGCTGCATACTTACTATTACTCTGTAATTTACTGTTGTTGATGGTCATGAGGGATTTAATATGATAGACTTTGTGTGTGTGCTTGTGTTTCTCTGTACGTGTGTCAGATGTCATATTGTCAGCTCTATCCAGTAAAAGTCTAGACTTGCAGTCATATTAATTGGCAGCCCTTTCAGCTAAAACAAGGCCCCATGCACTGTAAAAAATACTCTGTGACAAGTAAAAGTACGTTTTGTGAGCAAAAAGCAGTAAAAGTACTCAATATAGAAGAATGGCACCTGTTAGTGTTAAACTGTTATTTAATACATTATGAGACTATAAAAAGAATGGGGCCTCCCTAGTGTAGTGGTTAGAGCACTCGTCTTCAGTGCGGATGGTCCAGGGCTTTAATCCTGCTGGGGTTAACATCAGCAAAGGCATGCGGCCACAAGAGGTTCCCACCACCGAATCAAACGGGATCAGATTCCTTAAGGAGGCTTCAGGATAAGAGAGTAACTCCGAAAGCTGAGCCAAGTCCTCAACAAGGGTGCGTCTCAAGCCCGTTAAAGACGGGAGTTTCCAGATGTAAAAGTGAATTCATAAGATTATTAAAACAATAACAAAAAGAACGAAATGTTTGTTGAGCCTATCACAGCTGACATTGGGCGAGAGGCAGGGTACACCCTGGACAGGTCACCAGACTATCACAGGACTGACACATAGAGACAGACAACCATTCACGCTCACATTCACACCTACGGCCAATTTAGAGTCACCAGTTAACCTGCATGTCCTTGGACTGTGGGAGGAAGCTGGAGTACCTGGAGAAAACGCACACTGACACTGGGAGACCATGCAAACTCCACACAGAAGGGCTCCCCCACCCTGAGTTTTGCACCCACCAACCCGGATTCAAACCAGGAAGCATTTTAGCATAGCACAAAAACTGGAAACAGAGGGAAACCACTAGCCTGGTTCTGTCCTGTTTGTACAAAAACTGAAATGTAAAAATACACATCATACTTTTATGATGATGATTGATGATTTTAGGATCCTCTTGTCTTCCACCAGCTAATGTGTTTCCCCCAGTATTTATGCTAAGCTATCAATCTTCTCATCTAACTCTTGGCAAGAAAGCAAATAAGTGTATTTCCCAAAATGTCAATCTAGTCCTTTATTGTTTATTGTTGCCTTCAGGGTGGCACTGATTTTAACTGCTTTATATACTGTGAAGTAGTTTAGTCAATACAACTGTGTCACACTTTATGAGCTTATTGTATGTTTTGTATGTAAATCTTGTTTGAAAAATATCTAGGAACTATGGCTCTTGAAAAAATGTTGAGTAGTTAAAAGTAAAGAATTTGCCATTAAAACTTAGAAGACTAGAAGTATAAAGTGGCATGAAATGGAGGTACTCAGGTAAAGTACAAGTACCAACAATATTTATTAAGTGGAGTACTTGAATAAATGAACTTTACTGTCTTCCACTGCTGCCTGGGCAGTAACGTATTAGTACTGCTGTACTCCACATGGACAGTAAGATGTATCTCATAACACAACCTGCCTGCTGTAAGATTCAGTACTGTTTTTGTGTGTTTCAGAGAAGCCAAGAGCTCCAAGACTGCCCTCAGTCTGGGTTACCACGGCAACGTTGTAGACTTGTGGTGAGTGACAGATGAAAACATCCAGCTGCTCAGACACTACTCAGGTCTGCAGCTACAGTGAGAGAGACACATTTTGACACACTTTTCTAACCTCTTCACCAGGGAGAGGCTGCTGTTGGAGTATGAGAGGACGGGGGACCTCCTGGTGGATCTGGGCTCAGACCAGACCTCCCTTCACAACCCATATAATGGAGGCTACTACCCAGTCCAGCTCAGTTTCCGCCAGGCGAATCAGCTCATGGCGACTGATTCTAAGGGTTTCGTAGCCATGGTCCAAGAGAGGTAATATGAATCACACTTTGCTGCGGTATATTTTGAGCAACATATGGGTCTGTACAGCTGATATAATGTGTTTTACATACGATCACAGCCTCCGAAGACACGTTAAGGCCATCAACAAACTGTCTGATGCTGGCATGTTTTTCTGGGATTATGGCAATGCATTTCTCCTGGAGGCCCAGAGAGCTGGTCAGTGATTTAACACTCATACACACACACACACACACACACACACACACACACACACACACTCAGAATAAACCATTATTATCACTCAGTCCATGTCAGGCCAATAAAGAGGTTTGTGTTTCTTGTTTTTATAGGAGCAGAGGTGGAAAAGGTTGGCGGAGGAGCAACAGAATTTCGTTATCCCTCTTACGTCCAGCACATTATGGGGTGAGACATTTTCTTATTCAATCTAGCACTGATACTGTAATAGAGCTGTAGACAGTTGAAAGTCATCTGTGATCAGTTCTTTTCTTCTTGTGATAAATAGTTTGTGATCTCTCCTTCTGTCTTTGCCACAGGGACATATTCTCTTTGGGCTTTGGCCCGTTCCGCTGGGTGTGCACATCTGGCGACCCCCAAGATCTTGCTGTAACTGACGATATCGCCGCTACTGTCCTGGAGGAAATTAGTGCCAATGTGACTGATCGCATCAGACAGCAGCACAGTGATAACATCCGCTGGATCAGAGAGGCTGGAAAACACAAAATGGTGGGTGACATTCTGAGCAACCAGTGCCATCATTTACCCTCTGATAAGATACGCAGCTGCATTAGGCTGATTTCCTCTGTGTCTTTATTTAGGTCGTGGGATCTCAAGCCAGAATCCTGTACTCTGACCAGAAAGGAAGAGTCTGCATTGCTTTGGCTATAAACCAGGCTGTCGCTGATGGACGAGTTTCAGTAAGAGGATAGATTGTCTGCTGAGGCCCTGATCACACAGAAAGCGTTTTGCAGGTTGCAAAACACGAGGCTCACCACACTGCCTTTAAATTGAATGCTACTAGTAAAAATGCTTGTTGCACCTTTTTATTGTTGCCAGGCAACCACCCCATCACCTCCTTACCCTCACCTACCTGTGTAATCAGTCTACCATTTATACCATTTAAAACTACCTGCTTATTTTCACAGTAAGTAGTAGCTAGTTACTGAAATGGACAGTCGGATAGTTTTAAGTATCCAGCAACTGCAATCACCAGTTTCTCCTCCATTGTTTACCAACTGTAAACTTGTTGTCGTGACTACCACAGAAAACCCACCTCTTGAATCATATTATCGGACAATGGGGAAAAAAGCACAGATGACGTGGGGTGCTTTTAGGCTGAAGTTTTTTCAACTTGAGGAGTCCGGCAAAAACGCCAGGGGCGTAACAATGAAAAAAAAACAAGCAAAAAGCTTAATTCTCATTAAAAACAAGTACAGAAAGCTGCCTCCAGCTGCTAAGACACCTTCTGTGTGATCAGGGCCTTAGGAGATTATTTCATGTTTACAGCATGATGTCCAGTTTTCAGTGGAGTCTCAGTAATAACCATCTTTTGTTATTTGTGTCGCCCAGGCTCCTGTGGTCATCAGCAGAGACCATCATGATGTCAGCGGCACAGACAGCCCCTTCAGAGAAACCTCTAATGTGTATGATGGATCTGCCTTCTGTGCAGGTATGTGTATGATCAGTGATGTGCAAGATACTGAAAATTAGTATCAGTCACGACTCACGGTTACTAGTGACTTCTCTCAAGTAATTAAATTACTTCACCAATTATTGCAAAGACAAGTAATCATTTAGGGCAGTGGTTTTCAAACTTTTTCCTGCTCAAGGCACACCTGCATTTATATCTGTGCACAATAGACTCTATGTAAGCACTCTTATCAGGACATAAATGTTTGTTTTTATATACTAATATCAAATAACAGTTGACAACCAAATATTACTCATGAAATATTTATTAACAAAATGAGTTAAGAATTAATTTTAAAGTTTTAAAAATTTCACCAAGGCACCAATAACACACCCATTTAACCGCGGCACACCATTTGAGAACCACTGAGTTAAGGAAAGCAATTTTTGTATTACTTTAAAATATCTGCTTCAGTTCTCTAACCCTACGCAAACATAGCTGTTGTATTATTTTAGTGTTTGATCATCTGTCGCAGTTACCACAGAGCTGATTATACAAATGTTAGGTTAGCCAAAATATGTCCAAATGTAACTGATGTCTGTTACACATGTAAACAATGGCCTGTCAGTCTTACACATATGTTGTGGGGCCAGCCACGGGTTAACTGACTGTCGGACAGAAATATTCCAAATTTATCAAAAAGTATTCAATATTCCTGTACATCCCCTGACAGCTATAACTTGGAATCCCGGAGGAGGACAGCATTCCCATAGCCATATAGAGAGTCATTGCCTTCACTGCACTGATAGTCAGACACTTTATTCTCCCAGCCATAGTGGATGGATTGTGGAGGTCCTGCATTGTATCACACTTGAGAAAATTAGGCACCCTAAGAACTTTTAGGGAAACCTGGGGGCACCTTTTAAATTACATAGATACACTGTCTGTTCTGCCTGATGGCATTGCTAGCAACAGCTGAGCCCCGCCCCTCTTTGATTTGCTCATATATTTATTTTATTTCATGTCCTGGTTTAAATCTAAGTTATTGCTTATATGTAATCTGCTCTTTGTTTTGCTCCTCACTTCCCTGGGTGTCAGGTCTGGTGGGTGGGAGGGAGTTTATTTCTCTGTTTGAACACAAAATGAATAAAGAGATTAAAAAAATAATAATAAATTGTAGCCTAAAACTAATAACATATGATGAGCTGCCTGGTTTGGAGGTTTCCTTCTCAGCTCTGGTGGTACAGAAGACAAAGACACTGTATCATTTATCATGTGTTGTCAGTTTTGCACTTGGTTCTGTGGACAATGATGCAGTGTGACTTGACTTGAAAGTGAGAAGGCTGCAGACATTGCGACAGATGATCAAACATAATGGAGCAGCTCTACAGTCCACACAAAATCTGTTCCTTGTTACTGTTGCCATTCAACACTAACACCAATCCATTTCCTGCCTCTCTTCATTCATATGAATCAGTAACACTGCAGGAATCATTTTCACAGTGTCTCCCCCTTACAGACATGGCAGTCCAGAACTTTGTTGGTGATGCATTCAGGGGCGCCACATGGGTAGCCCTGCACAATGGTGGTGGTGTTGGTTGGTAAGACTGGCTGGTCTCCCAGTAAATAGTAATCTGTATGACACTTTTTGATTCATCAAAACTTATCTGTCACCAGGGGGTCAGTGTGTTTATTACTGTATCTGTTGTGTCGCCTGCAGGGGTGAGGTAATGAATGGAGGGTTTGGTTTGCTCTTGGACGGCTCAGAGGAGGCAGCAAAGCGAGCCAGACTGATGCTCAACTGGGACGTGTCCAATGGGGTGAGAGTGTAGAGAGGAGAGCAGCGTGACAGAGTCCAGCCTCACTTACTGTGTTACACTGTAAGCTCTAATGGCTCTGTGTCTGTGTGCTGCAGGTAGCTCGTCGCTGCTGGTCTGGAAACTCCAACGCCTATGACACCATCCAGCACACCATGGAGGAGAACAGGCAGCTGCGTGTCACCATGCCCTTTCCTGTACAGGATGAGTGCGTGCTGGATCGTGCCCTGCAGGGCTAGCCAGCACTTAGGCACAGCCAAGGAGACCTGCAGCTGTAATCCTGTCAGTAGTGTCTGAATCAGGCCTTATCCAGGTTTCAGAGGATCAGTACTAGTTAATGAATCAGTGGCCATGTTGTTACAGAAATGGTTTGCCATGAACACAGAATGCAAAATAGGCTCCAGTATTATGCTCGGCTGTTTTAATAATTTAATTTACAAGAATATATTCTTTTCATGTGCTGAAAATTAAACTACAAGTATGTATAAATGATCAAGCCCATATGAGTCATTTGTATGTTGGTAATCTATGAAAATAATTTGCTACATATACAGTAATTTGTCCAATAATGGCTGTCAAAATGTCAATGACATGTTAGTGGCAGAGAAATGTAGTTTTTTATATTTTGAAAAAAAGGAGAGGAAATCAACCAGGATGCCAAAGCCAGATTTTGGTCACAGGTGACACCACAGCAGCAGCTTTGTTTCTGCATTTGACTGCACATATTTATGGCTTGAATGGATACTCAGACCAAGTTCTGGTGTGGAAAAAATGCAAATTACTGATGCGATTACACGGCATTTTGTCTGTTGTCACAACCTGACACAAGTAAAAAAAACACTTGACAGATGAGAGACCGTAGTCCTAAAAAATGTGTTTCAGTGAAATACAAAATGCAAATGAGGTGTATAAGTATATCTGGAGTCCTGGAAGGAAAGAGAAGAGCTCAGCCAACCCAGGCCTCATACTGTTAAAGGAACAGTTCAACCCAAAATCAAAAACACACATTTTTCCTCTTACCTGTAGTGCTGTTTATCAGTCGAGATTGTTTTGGTGTGAGTTGCAGAGTGTTGGATATATCAGCTGAAGACATGTCTGCCTTCTCTTGAATATAGTGTAATCAGATGGCACTTGGCTTGTGGAACTCAAAGTGCGAAAAAAAAGTACATTTAAAAAACTCAACATCAATGTGTCTTTCCAGAAATCCTGACCTAGTTACTCAAGATAATCCACAGACCTTGTTATGAGCAGCTTCATGTAGGAACTATTTTCTTTCTACCAAACTACACCTGCAAACGTAATCACTGTGCAGATGATAATGACTGCAACCTTATTTTAAAACTCAGGTGTAGTTTGGTAGAAAGAAAATAGTTCCTACATGAAACTGCTCACAACAAGGTCTGTGGATTATCTTGAGTAACTGGGTCATGATTTCTAGAAAAAGACATTGCTGTTGAGTTTTTCAGATGTATTTTTTGGCACTTTGAGCACCACAAGCTGAGTGCCATCTAGATCCATTATATTAGAGAGAAGGCAGACATCTCTATGGCTGATATCTCCAACACTCTGCAACTCACACCAAAACAAACTAGACTGATAAATAGCACTACAGGTGCTGTCCCTTTAATGTCAGATTTGAATGATTTCCTGGCGCCCAGACAGTGCTATGATGTCCTTGGAAGACCTCTTACACACATCCTCTTGATATTTGCCATGAGCTTTATTATGGGAGTGAGGACTGTACTGTCCCATTCAATTAAAACTGTATTAAGAGGACACAGCAATATTCTTTTAGCTTTCTCTGGTTTTGAACCATGTACTTAGTATAAGTACATGGTTCAATATTCTTTTAGCTTTCTCTGGTTTTGAACCATGTACTTATACTAATTTCCTATCATAGCTTCGGGTCTTGTCCATCTGTCCATTGGGGTGCGTTTTTGCGCGTGGTTGTTCCTTTAAGAAAATGAATTTGAGCCGCTCCGCGCTGACGTAAGGGAATTGGAGAGCCTGGTGTACCCTGCAGGAAGAGGCAGAGAGCCGTGATGAGGACCAGGCAGGGGCTCCACATTTTTCCAGCATTTTCTCCTGTCTTAGACATTTAGTGTGTCGTACCATCTCTCCTGTACACACATCCAGATCAGCTTGAAACCTCTGAAGTGCCCTGGTGCCAATATAACGGTGCGCTTTCAGACCTCCGCCCTTTTCTGTAGGACTCTGAGGAGGTTTCATAGATTGCATACCTCATTTTGTTCGTACAGTGGTCACAGTGAGGGCGAGATGATCTGTCGGGCAGCACCAAACTCCTCCAGACGTATGAACTAGGATGACACCGGATATTTCCTGTTGCAGACACTGGTGACTTTTGCGCAGCATCCCTGTTGGCTTCTACAGGAATAAAAATGCATCATAACCAGGAGGAGCAGTCGGTAAACCCAATTACTGCGCAGCACGGGACAACACAGCCCAGTGACTCCTCCAACAGCCTGGGGAGCAGCTTGGACAGCGGCCTCACAGTCACCCAGCCACCTGCTTACTGCAAGCTGGAGTTCAAGAGACACGCAGTGACAGATGACTATAAGATCACAGCTCAGGTCCTTGGCCTGGGAATAAACGGGAAAGTTCTGGAATGTTACTGCAAGAAAACCGGAGAGAAATGTGCCCTCAAGGTGTGTGTGTGTGTGTGTGTGTGTGTGTGTGTGTGTGTGTGTGTGTGTGTGTGTGTTTGCTTCTTTACCCTGAGTGTGCGTGTGTGTGATGTGGACAGTCCTCAGAGAGCATCCATCAATTATTTATCTCTGGTCTGTGATCTCCATCATGCAGTTGGGTTTATACTGAAAAATATGTCCAGAATTTAGATGTTGTATTTATGCTTTATGTAAAGTTAAATGTCCAGTGACGATTTCAAATGTATGCTGATGTTTATTTTATTTAAAAAGGGACACATTAATCAACATGAGCACATGGGTCCATCATGTTAATGTGCCAGATTAAGACATACAGACTTGTTTTCATCTGCAGTCCCTGGCAGGTTGATGGTTTATAAAAAATAGTCAAAGCAAACATGCAAAAGACCAAACCATATTCATTTTGTTTGATGTGACGTAGATGAAATATGAAAACAGCCATGCATGGATGGAGCAGTAGTCTGAGAGCAAATTGAGTTAGTGAGCAGCCCAGACAGTGGATGTGTCTGTCAGACAGTGATGTGCTGTCTGGGGTCCTCCTTCGACACAGTTTCCATTTTGCTCTGCGATTGTTGTGTGAACAATGATCTGCCCTGTTAATACTTGACATAACCGTCTGACATTTAACACAAGTATTAAAAAAATGCATTTTATTACTCCCCTACGCAACATTAAGTATTCTGCGTATTAGATGTTTACAGTGATTTTTAAAGCCATTTTATGACGTGAGAAATTCAGAGCGGGTAAGTCAACAAACAGCTGACTGTAGGGATGCAGCAAAGCCTTAAGAAAACACAAACAGGAAGAGCAGCCCCACAAGTGCATCTGAATGTTTTTTTGGAATGTCTTAAGTGGTATGCCACGACTGAAAAGGTACACTGAAATGTGAAGAGCTACCTCAGTCTTGTCGACTGTGAGTGGTAGAGCTGTGATTTCTTTGCATTGAGGCTCTGGAGGAAAGGCACACCTTCATAAACACTCATATCTGAGCCCCTTTTCCTCCTCTAGTGCTCAGAGTTCATTGTAATGTCCACAAGGATTTGGACTGCATGTCTGGGAAAATAGGATATCCTCCTCCCTCTGGATACCAGAGCTGCAGCACTGTGTCTTTAAAGTTAGAGCACACTGCTAAATGCAGTCTTAAAGTATTCACTCCAAATGTTCTCTCTATAATGGAGATGAATGGGTTTAATAGTGCTGTAAACTGAGAGTGTCTCCACAATGGGGCATGTGTTTGTCTCTGTGTGTGTGTTTATTGATTTCTTGCTAAGGATTTCAAACTGATTCTTTTAGAAATTAATGTGTAAAGTGTATCCATCTTGGAATACATTCAGACAAATATGTGACGGAAACCTTTCACTGATATGTGTTTTTGTGATGTGGAGCAGATCCTGTACGATACTCCTAAAGCCAGACGGGAGGTTGAGCTGCACTGGCGAGTTTCCGGAGGTCCCCACATTGTCCGAATACTCAGCCTGTATGAGAACATGCACCAGGGGAAGAAATGTCTCCTCATCGTCATGGAGTGGTGAGTGTCTGCTTATTCGTAGGCTTTTAAAATGACAGTTCACCCCCAAATCAAATACACATATTTTTCCTCTTACCTGTAGAGCTGTTTATCAATCTAAGTTGTTTTGCTGTGAGTTTCAGAGTGTTGGAGATATCGGCAGAAGAGATGTCTGCCCTGTCTTGAATATAATGGAACCAGAAAGCACTGTGATGATGGCATGTGAAAAACTCAACATCAATGCCTCTTTCCAGAAATCATCACCAGTTACTCAAAATAATCCACAGACCTTGTTGTGAGCAGTTTCATGTAGGAACAAATTTCTTTCCTCTGAACTACACCAGCCAACCATATCACCACTCAGAAGGAAGCATGCAGTTACTGCACCGCTGAACTAGCTAACGTTGCAGCTCAGCTGAGGAGGATGGAATTTATGTCTATATCTCACACTGTCACAAGTCTCCTTTCCATGAGTAGATATCTCCAACACTCAGCAACTCCACTAAAACAATCTAGTCTAATAAATAGCACAATAGGCAAGAGGCAAATGATGTATCTTGGATTTTGGGGCGAACTGTCCTGAACTGTCTATAATGTAGTGCATCTTTGTGTTCATTTAGTACTTTGAAAAAGTTGAAGGGCAGGGAGACAGACTGTGTGAATATCCATACATAAGTCCTGAAGCTGTTTCATATGCGAACAGTGAAACAACTCCAATGATGCCCTGCAGAATATCTTGTATCTAGAAAGGTCTGGATGGCATCTCTGTCCAGCTGAGTTTGATTTCAGCTCACACCTGGCATAGGAATGCAAATCAAATACATACTGAGTAAGGAATTTAGTTTAGTACTTGCATTTGATTATGTGGGCGGTACGGTGGTGCAGTGGTTAGCATTGTTGAACTCCTGGTTCAAGCCCTTCGTTGTGGAGTTTGCATGTTCTCCTTGTGTCAGCGTGCTTTTTCTCCAGGTACTCCAGCTTCCTCCCACAGTCCAAAGACACGCACGCAAGTTAACTGGTGATTCTAAATTGTCTGTAGGTGTGAATGTAAGTGTGAATGGTTGTTTGTCTCTATGTGTCAGCCCTGTGATAGTCTGGTGACCTGTTCAGGGTGTACCCTGCCTCTCGCCCAATGTCAATGTCATTGTTTGTTTCAGTTTAGCTTTTATTGTTTAAAACAGTTACCTTTTACTTTCATTTTTTTGTAGTTTCAGTATTAGGCTTTTTAAAAGTTGTGATAAGGGGGGTATTTGTCAGAGGCAAGATTAAGTGCAGAATAGGTATTGCAATGAAAACAAACACACTCTGTGAGGGTAATTGACTCCCTCTCATGTAGACATTCCAGTTATGCTTGTTGTGTTGACCAGTTTGACCAGATTAACAAAAAACTTGCAGCTGTCCTTTACATTTTTAGTTTAGTTTAGTTTTGGAAGTACACAATATATATTCAGCTAGTTTCCTCTTTTTCTAAAGTTAAGTTTTTGGTTTTATTTCAGTTGACTAAAATGTTTTTCAACATCTAGTTTTATTTTTAGTTTAATTTTAGTTAACTATACAACACACATGCAGTATATAGCACAGTACATTTAAAAAAGGCCCCTTTTTAAAAATATTTTTCTTTCTTACATTTGCAATCGACATAGCTATATCTTTGCTGTACTTCTTTCAGTGGCAATAACAAATGCACCCTCAAAGGTCTTTCTTCCTCTCTATTTACATTACATTATTTTCCATTGTTATTTGTCCTTTTTCAACTGTGCAAACAATTAAAATTCAGACTCAAAAACAAAGTGAAAAAAAGTGAGACATGACTTTGCAGAACAACAAAGGGACAAGATGGTAATAATATAGTAGTAATCCTCCCCCCTTGCACACAAATTGAAACATTCCCCTCTGGCAGGACGCTGCGGTCCATCAGGACCAAAACCTCACACCACAAGAACAATTTCTTCCCGACTGCAGCTGGCCTCATCAGCATGGCCTGGGACCCCAACTCACACTGACTCACGTCTTAATGACTTACTTTGTTTTTTTGTTATGCACCAAAAAACCAAAGCAAATTCCTTGTATGTGACATCCTACTTGGCATTAACAGGAATCTGATTCTGAGTCTGGTGTTGGTAATACAGACTGTTTGCAAGTGTTGCTGTGTCATGTGTTTACTACAGAAACATTTGCATCTCTGATCACGTGATAATGTGGCCTGAGAAACTGGATGCCACTGTATCTGTGTTGTGTTTGGGGCTGTATTTAGCTCTGTTCACTTGTGATTCAAACACACAGAACATATTCTATGGCTGAAAGCTGAGAGGGCTTTTAACAGACGCCAGTTTTATTAAAATATGGAAACATTTTCTGATGATACATTTTAAGCTCCAGTTAGAAATTAAGCTAATTTGGGTTTGTAATATAATCATCATATAATTGATATGGTTTTATAACGTGTTTGTACAAACTTTACAATGTGAAATTAGCACAATAGTTTGCTATGTTCCCTTTGATTCGTCCTCACTGCTCGAGTCATCTGGTTCTGCCGTGGCTCAGAAGACTGGACTCATCTGAACAGTAAATTGTGACGCACAATGACTTGCTTTGTTTCCAGACCATGATTGCAGTAGAGAGCAGTGGTTGTTTGCCAAGAGTCCCCTCACTGCCCCAGTTCTGATGTCTTTGTTAATCTTGTTTCAGTATGGAGGGAGGGGAGCTGTTCAGCCGCATTCAGGCCAGAGGGGACCAGGCCTTCACAGAAAGAGGTGAGGTCACATATTAATGATGGGTCTCTTTATTGTGTCCTGCATATGTTACACCTATACGTCATGTCTGTCCATCAGAGGCGTCAGACATCATGCATGACATCGGCACGGCCATAGAGTACCTCCACCTCATGGACATCGCCCACAGGGATGTAAAGGTGCTGCTGCTGTCAAAATAAATGAATTCACAGATAAATGCGTTGTTTTAAAATCTCTGTAACCTTTTTTATTTTTCTCATGCAGCCTGAAAACCTGCTCTATACCACCAAGGAGAGTAACGCCACACTAACACTGACTGACTTTGGTTTTGCTAAGGAGACGACGCTGCACAACGCCCTCCAAACTCCCTGCTACACTCCTTATTATGTTGGTGAGTGTTTGCTGTCATGCAATCAGTAGTTGACTGCATTTGTACCAGTAATATTAATATGCTATCAGAGACATAGTTTCTGGATATGGTTGCTGTCATTCACTCTCATGTTCTCCATGTGTGTCTGCATATTGACCTGCTGTAGTGTGTCTTTCATTTTCCACGCTATCACTGTGTTGTTTTATTTCTGTATCTGTTTGTCCATTCAGCCCCAGAGGTGCTTGGGCCAGAGAAATATGACAAATCATGTGACATGTGGTCTCTGGGCGTAATCATGTACATTCTGTGAGTATCATGTGCGTCTGCAACTGATTAAACTTAATGAAACATTTACAGCTGTTCTGGTATACTCTATATTAATGTTTAACAATATGATTTTGGTTAATGACAGAAAAGTAAATCAGTCTCTTCTGCTCTTCTGTTTGTAGATTGTGTGGGTTTCCTCCATTCTACTCAAACACAGGTCAGGCCATCTCTCCAGGCATGAAGCAGAGGATCAGGCTGGGCCAATACGAGTTCCCCAACCCTGAGTGGGCTGACGTTTCTGAGGAAGGTCAGCCTTTGGACAAAAGACTCATAAAGATTTCAAAACTGTAACAGGGTTGTGCAAATTTTCCTCACACCAAGTTCTTGCTTTGATTGAAAATCAGCACAAACTGACTATAGTGACCAAAACTGGCGTACAGTAAACCATATTCACAGTAACATTTGTAGTCCAAATTTAAAGCTGCTGTATTTGGTATGTTTATATTAACAATGGACTGTGACAGGTATCGAACATACAGAAAATCATCACCCAGCTGCTGTTCCCCTCAGTTCTATGGAGAATTTTAGCATCTTTGAACTCATTATTTGGGTTTATGGCCCGAAATCTGCTCACCCTCTTTCGCCTTGTTTCCAGACACAAGTAGGCTTTTAAGCACAAAAAAAATGCTTTGACAGATTCACTACACACTAAAAACCCAGCACCAATTGACAAACTGACAAAGTTAGCATCTCGCTAGTGAACATAGGGTGACCAGACGTCCCGCATTGCGCGGGACTGCACAGCATTTCTGTCTCTTTTCACGCGTCACGCAAATTGAGACCACATCCCGCATGATTGGTTGTCACTCGCACTTGCAATCCCTCCCCTGGCCAATGAGAAGAAGCTGCATGCAGTGGCCGGCCCACGTGGGCTCTGTGCGTTTAATCGCTAGGGCCCGCCCCTCCCACCCCATATAGCAACAGGTGACACTCGTTAGCTAATGAGTGTCAATAGGCTCATTGGAGATTAACTGTGTCTTGTCTGCAAAGTAGACGAGAGCAGGCGGCCGCAGCGGGGGGTGGTAACAAAAACCTGCGATGAAGTTGGACAGTTTCCCGACAGTTTCCAGCAGCCTTCAGTCCGTACAGGAAGTCACGGACACACTTCCTCCATCCTGTCTGGAATGATGTCAGTTCATTAAAAAAGTGATCAGACCCATATGTCAGTTTGTTTTCAGTCTCCAGTTTTAATTATGATAGATTCATTTATTAAAATGCTTTACAGGTGATCTGTAATTTATGTTCATGGTTTATCCTCCATTTGACAGCATCATATCAGTTTGACCTGTCCCCTCAACTACACAGGCTGAATAAACAGTGTTAGTTAATATTTTCAGGAAAAAAAAATACAAGACAACAGCTTTCATTTAAGATCAGTCAGACACGGTCAGGCCTTCACATCTGTACAGATGTTATTTTAAGAATCCTCAAATCCCACTGACCACAAGTCTCTGTGTTGCTAAATACTTCAATAATTAAAAAAGTCCAGTGTTAATATACAGTAGACTCTGTATAGTTTACGATGAATGTATTTAGTCTCTGATGACTAAACTTTGTGCTGGGGGCGGGTGTCCCACATTGTCCCTCACAAACCTACTCCTTGTCCCACATTTGGTTTATTGGGACCTGGTCACCATAACTGTGCGTTCACACCAAACGCGATAAACGCCACAAGTTTCCATTCAAAATCAATGTAAATGACGCGATGACACGCGATGTCGCTTCGGGCGACGCGTTTCAGGCGATAAGAGCAACGCGATGAAGTGATGACGCGTCCATCGCCTCATCGCGTGTCGCTTGAAGTTGAAAAATTTGAACTTTTCAAGCGACATCACGTGACGCTGTGCCGCAACATCCAATCAGCGTTGATATCCAACCATTCATAAAGAAATTATAAGCAACTAACCGGAGACAGATGGACAGGCGCTCCGCAGCTGGGATGGAGCGCCTGTAGTTGGTGTCCAGGCGGGAGATCCTCGCACCGATACGGGCCAACAGGTCCTCAAACTGGGCCAGCGTCAGCCTGAAGTACCACAGGAAACAACCGTCATCCAGACGCAGCTCTTGCAGGAGGTGATGATACTCACCCAGCTGTGTGCGTTTCTGGAGGATATTGTGAACCCAGACACAGCGGCGTTTGGGTCTCCGATCCAAATCAGTTGTCCACAACAGATAAAGAGCAGCTACGGTACTTAACTCAGCCATGTTTGACAAGAAAATAGCGGGAGGTGAAGAAAATTGCGGGAGGAGGGTTCCGTCATCGCGATTGAAGCGACAAAGCGATGATCAAAAAGGTGACATTTGTGATCAAGCGACGCGATACTCGCATTACGGGCAATGACATTGTGTCCATCGTGTTTGGTGTGAACGCACAGTAAGTGAACATGGTGGAGCATTTAGCAGTTAAGGTGACATATTTTTCTCAGGAGTTGGTAGGGACCAAAAACGGAGCTAAAAGAGAGTGAATTATAGAGTAATGTTTATCAGGTGGCCAGAGACATGAATCAAAACGAATGATAATGTTGCTCTGTAACAGCTGGATATAAATAAGCAACCGCGCCACAATCTTACTTAGAGTTCATTCTCAATGCTTCGATGCAGAAATGCGGGACGGATTTGCAGAATATTCGTGCAGTGCTTTTCTGCCTTTAAACCATATACACAGGTGCGGTGCGGAATTTCGCGTTGTTGTGTTCCAAGTCCACGCAGTGTGAATGGGTGTGGGTGAACATGGACGAGAGTAGCAGCAGCAGCGAGCTAGCAAGCTAACATTTAACAAGAGTCAACAACAACTTTCTTTAGCACTTACCACTCTCACCCTCAGTGAGAATGGACTTTTAAAGGAACAGTTCTCCCCAAAATCAAAAATACATATTTTTCCTCCTACTTGTAGTGCTGTTAATCAATCAGTCAATCAATCAATCAATCAATCAATCAATCAATTAGTTAAATCAACAGTGATATTTAACAAAACAAAACGGCTAAACAAGCCACTGAGGGGTCAATGGGTGAATTTGTTCTGGGCGTGTGTTCTGGGCAAAGAATAAACCAACGTCCAGTGCGTGTTATCTCTTTTGATTTGGCAATCCATGTATTCTTAACACAATATACACATGCTCACCATAACATAGAGGGAAGACAGCATTGTCCATATGTAATAAATATTCTGTTCAGCAAATTGAGTCTTCCACACTGATACTTCATGTTTTCACTACACGCTTACATAACGCAGTCAAAAACTGTTTGCTTCCCGTTCCACACACCTGATTTCCACTACCGGAAGCTTACCTACATGCACTTCACACATGAATGCTAGATGGCACTCGGCCTGTGGTGCTCAAAGCACCAAAAATACATTTGAATAACTTAATAGCAATGTCTCTTTCTCTCATGACCCGCTTACTCAAGATAATCCAAAGATCTTGTTGTGAGTAGTTTCATGTAGGAACTATTTTCTTTCCACAGACCTCAGTGGCTAACTGTATCACTGCGCAGAATAAAACGTGCATCTACTACTAATAGCACCACAGAACTAGCTAATTTTACAGCTCAGCCATAAAGGATGCAACTGACATCTCACACTGTCATGAGCATGAGCTTCTCAGGTGTGCTTCAGTAGAGAGAAAATAGTTCCTACATAAACCTGCTCACAACAAGATCTGTGGATTATCTTGAGTAACCAGGTCATGATCTCTAGAAAGAGACATTGCTGTTGAGGTTTTCAAATGTATTTATTTGGCACTTTGACCACCATAAGCTGAGTGCCATCTAGTTCTATTATATTGGAGAGAAGGCAGACATTTCTACAGCTGATATCCCCAACACTCTGCAACTCACACCAAAACAATCTAGACCGATAAGTAGCACTACAGGTAAGAGGAGAAATATGTTTTTCTTTATTAAAAAAATCTCATCCTCTTTAACACAACAGAGACAACATCATTATAGGTTCATACAGCAGTAAAGACTTGTTGGAACAAATGCTTGATGTTGTTTACCTGTGTTTTGTAGCCAAACAGCTCATCATTCAGTTACTGAAGACAGACCCCAGTGAGAGGATGACCATTGGACAGTTCATGAACCATCCCTGGATTAGTGTAAGACATCTCTTTGCCACTTTGTCTACAGACCTACATGTTGTTCCTCCTTTTATTCATAGAATGTGTGTTTTTTGTACTGCAGCAGTCATGGGTGGTCCCTCCGACACCCCTCCACACCTCCCGTGTTTTGACGGAGGACAAGGAGCTGTGGGAGGATGTGAAGGTGAGACACACTCTGTCTGTTTTCACAATATGACCACAAGATGGCGTTAAAGCACAGACACATTTAAAGCACCATGTGTTTCCGTCTTCCCGCAGGAGGAAATGACCAGCGCCCTGGCCACCATGCGTGTCGACTACGACCAGGTGAAGATCAAAGACCTGGACACGTCCAACAACCCTCTGCTCAACAAGAGACGCAAGAGGCCTGTGCCTGGAGGAGCCAACTCAGGAGGAGGAGACGGTGATGGAGGAGATGGAGGAGTGGTGTGTAATAGTCACAGAGAAGTAACGTTTTCTGAAGAGCATGGGGAAATGATCATTGGACAGAAGTAGTTTAAAATTATGACAGCCAGATTGATCAGTTTACATATCACTTATTGTATTTTACTTTCTCCTTCTTTGTATCACTGCACTTCAGTAGTCTAATTCATGTCATTTATTTTGACTGTCACCACTCTAACATTACAAATAAATAGTTTTTTTTATGTTTTACAGCTGTGTTGTACTGTCATGTTTGTATAGGACACTTAAATTGACACTGTTTGTTTGACAGTGAGAGAATTATTAAACCTCTGTGGAGACTGTTGTTGCCATCCAGGGAACATTTGAGAGTCGAGTGCAGAGATTTTGCAGCAGTGTGAGAAATTATTTCTTCTTGCCGTAAACAAAGAAAGACAGTATGTGGAAGTCATAAAAGATATTTATTAGACAGCATTACAGCCAACTAATAAGTCCTTTAGGGAACATTTCATAATAGTGAGATATGTGGGAATTGTGACACGCACATTCAAGAGACATTCAAACTTTGAGAGGTGAAGGTGATGACATACCTCGTGCATTGTGTGATCTTTCGACCTCGCCAGACATTTCCGCACACTTAAAATTTCTTCCTCTGAGAGTCTCTGCCAAACCATTAATACTGCCTGTATACTGGTAACTCATTGAGGTTTCAGCTGCAAGATAAATGTTCGCTTTTTCAGTAGACTGTTGAATAAACTGGGGAGAAAGGAAGAGCATGAGCATCAGTGAGCAGGACCTGTGGCACCCAGCCTGGTAACCTAACACCCACTGTTAATTTTTCATGTGCACAGGATAATAGTAGGTGTGGGTGGTGGTGGAATAAGTGCTCCAATGTCAAAAACTCTCCATTGCAAGTAGAAGTCTTGCAGTTAAAATTTTACTGAAGTAAAAGTACATTAATGCAATCAAACTATAATTAGTATTTTAATAAAAATTACTCACTAAGCAGCAGAATGACCCCGCCAGTGTTACATATTTATATATTATTCACACTATATTAACATGTAAGCATCGTTTTAATGTTGGGCTAATTCTAAGTACTTAATACACTGTTGGGAATTTGAATGTTTAACAGTAATGGATGGACAACTGAACAGGCCTAAGTGTACCAACCCACAGGCCCAATATGTCAGAGATCCCAAGACCTTTACCTGCAAATGTCCCTCACTTTAACACAGACCACTTGAAATGACCACAAGAGATGCAAAGGAACTGCACAAAATAACCACCAAAAAAGACACATTACGTCAAAGTAAATGGTAAATGGACTGCGCTTGTATAGTGCTTTTCTAGTCTTCCGACCACTCAAAGCGCTTTTACACCACATGTCACATTCACACACAAATTCACACACTGGTGGCCGAGGTTACCATACGTGGTGCCACCTGCTACTCAGTAACCATTCACACACTCACACACTGATGGAACAGCCATCGGGAGCAATTTGGGGTTCAGTATCTTGCCCAAGGATACTTTGACATGCGGGCTAGAGGAGCTGGAGATTGAACCGCCAATCTTTCGATTAGTGGATGACCCCCTGCTATACCTCTGAGCCACAGTCGCCCCGAAGAGACACAAAGTAACCTCAGAGAGACACAAAACAACCAAAAAAAAAAAAAGATGCACAACAACAACAGTCTGTGTGTCTTGTCCCTATGTATGAGAGGTGGTGGGGCCTTTTGCATGTCTGTGCCCAGGGGCCCATAATATATCATATTTTATTAAAGTTGACTTTAAGCATCAATATTTCCCCCTGAATTATAGCAAAGTAGAAGTATAAGTATAGCACAAGTACCTCAAAACTTACCTCAAGTACAGAACTATTTTTGAACTATTATTATTTTTGTTTTTTTCCCTATTGGTTGTAGATTACATCTCTTTATGTTTAAGTATTTATCGCTGAGACAGAACTGGGACAAAGTGAAGTATGTGATTGAAGTTGTTTTGTTGTTATTTTTAATACAGGTAGATAATATACACATAACACACAACAATATTATGACAATATAACTTCACAAAAGAGAAGAAAAAAATGACACAAAAAAAGCAAATAAGACAAAATAAATAATAAGATCCCTTCAGTTATTTGAATAATTAGTCTGACAGTATATTTTGTAGCCTCTACAACTACTGTATTCAACATTTATTTCTCAATGAAGGATCCCAGAAAAACTAAGTGGAGTTACAAACACTCGATAAGCGGTGACTCTTAGTACCTCTGACATCGTACATTTTAATTTCATAGTATTAACAAATGTCTTCTTGTTATCTCTTGCCATTGACTGTTTATAGTATGGTTGTTCAGTTAGGGAAGGAGAGCCACAGAGCACATACAGTGTACACCAAGTCAAATAAATTTGCATGATAACCAGCTGCAATGGAAATGCTGCCATTCAAACCAGTTACAGTCAGGTATTACTGAGTGTTTGGCTCAGACATTAATGACAGGACGAGGTAGTGACAGTTGTGCTAAGTTTAGAAGGTGAAAACAAGAGTCTGGTGATGGCATCGAGTCTGACTCCTGGGATTCACGCCATGAGTGATCTGCTAACCATCCGTGAGAAAGGTGTCCTCTTCACTCTGCTCGAACCTCAGTGCATGGTCAGTTCAGTTTGTTACTGTCACTTCAAATTATTACCTGTAAATTAACTAAATAACCTCAGGGTTTCTCTGTATTTGCATTTCAATCAGGGTTCAGTGGACATTTGTGTTCTGTGTTAATAATGTTAAATATTTGAAAAGTAATGTATCATCTGTTGATTTAACATGTGGATGTTGTTGTGTTTCCTGGGGTTGTTTTTCTGTTGTCAGGAACGTTTGGGGAAGGCCTGGTGAATGAATGGGCTTTCTGTGAGAGCTGTTTTGTTTACAGTTAGTATCTGCCTCTTATATTGCCTGGCACTACCACACCGTGTTGCCAGAGCAGGTGCTGCATGATGTAAAAATGTACACTTTTTAAAAGCACTTCAAATAGCCTACCAAAAGAAGTAAATAATGAAATTAATAAAAATAAATAAAGAAAAAGAGAAACAAGAATATAAAAAGTGAGGTCAAACACAATGTCATTAAAAGCAAGTCTATAAAATGAACAGACAGACGTTTATGTTGAAATGTAAAAAGCAGTGAGTGGGCCAACCTCAAGATTTCTGACTTTGGTCTCATAAGATTAAAGTTCTGTTGAGAAGTGGTCAAGAAACTTTTTTGTTCTCAGGGACCACAGAGAGCTGCACTAATTTGTGAAAAGATAAAAACCTTATCACTGAAAACAAAAACTTGAAAATACTCCTGAATAAAAGAAGTAATTGCAGGTTGTTTTTCTGACAGGTATAACAGTGTGTCATCAGCACAACAGTAAACATTCGATATCAAAGTGTATCATTAACAGCGAAAAGAAGAGACTTTAATCTTGTGACCCCACATGTTTTATGTACTTTGGATGATGATGATGATTTCATGGTGATGTAGGACCTGAATGAGTGAACCCAGTTGATGTCAGGGGTGTACTATAATGGAAAGTTAAATGGATCATTTCCCAGCATCATCAGCCTCTAAAAAGAGGTCACTGTCTCTCTGTGGAGCTGCCTCTCAGCGGTGTAACACTCTGAAACTAAACCAGAGTGTCTCAAAGGTTACTCTGAGGCACAAAAGATGTGAGTCGCTTTAAAAAAAAAAAATAAAATAAT